AATATAGCTTGTTACTTCTTACAATTCAAAATTAATATTTTGTGTATTTAATCAATTCCTATTATTTACTTATTACGGTATCACTAATTTAAAATATAATGCCAGTATAAATTGAATGTACTGATATTAATACTAGTTGTGATATTTTTAGACTGAATAGTTCTACGATTGTATCAACTTGACTATTATTTTGTTCCACTAACTAACAAGTTCAATAAAAACCACAAATAACAAAGGTCACGACTATCCGATATTCCCTCTTAGCAAATCTAACCGCTGATTTCGTTCGAAATTCTTCCTAAAAGAGAGTCCAAATTGAATTCGCTTGTAGACATTGATTCTAAAACTCGGTGATTTATGACCCATCTAATGACCCCCAATTTACATAATAGTCGGCAAAAAATTGGCCCCCGGCGCCCATAAAACGGTCTGCGATTTAATTTGAATACAAGGCAGTGTTATTTCGACGGACCCCGTATGCAACATGTGCTTCAAATCATACACCACGTCTAAAAAACACCAAAGCTCTCTCTTGTTTATGCTAACTACACCATCATAAAGCGCATTTTCAGATTGGCATGCAACATAATATGGCGTGATCTGTGTACTTTGGAAAATAAATACAAAACCTTCGATACAGTGTTGCCAGTACAATATTTGTAGATAATATTGTATTTGAATATTTTCTTTTTGTTATTGGATGTGTTTGAATTTATTAAAAATTGATATAACGATAAGCGTTTTTGCGGTTCAAGCGAAATATACTTCTTTAACAAGCAGTCGCCATGATATTATGAAAGTATATCATTAATGATTACATATCTACAGGTTGATGGAATCCTATTTCTTTTTTGTAAGCCTCACCTTTTAAGCCATTCACGATCATCATGGTCTATTTTACTCTGTCTACAGCAGCTTTAAAGAGTTCTATTGCTGTTTTTTCACTACACTGTTTTAAATGTTTTAACCAGAAAGTGCTTAATCTTCTCGCTTCTCTTTTTCCTTTAATTTTTTCTTGAATAACCAACCGCATTGACCCATATTTTTCATTTCTTAGTATTTGACCAAACTAGCTCATTTTTCTTTCCTTCATGGTGTTAAGTATTTCTTTTTCTTTTTTTTGTCTTTTTTTATGTTTCCGTGTTTTTTAGGAGTTGTGTGCATGATATTTTTTACATTCTTTGATAACACTACGTATCAAAGGTGGCAAGGTCTTTTTCAGTTGCATCAGTAATTGTCCAGGCTTCAATTCCATATACAAGAGCAGAGAATACTTAGCATCCCATTAAACTATTTCTATTATCTATTACCAGTTTCTCATTGCATTTTCACTACTTTCATCTTATTGAAATCACTTCTATTTATCTCAATACGTCGTTTTATTTCAAGTCTGCGGCCCCATTTTTAATTTAGCTCACATCCCAAGTAATTATATCTGGGTACTTTCTCTAAAGCTGTTCCTTTAACGTAGGTTGTTTAATATTCCATTTTGTTTTTACTGGCAATGATGATTTTTGTTTTTTTTTGTATTTATAGGCAGTACATATCTCTTGCATTATTACGTAGATTTCACTTCGCAGAAATCGAAACGTCAAGTAGACGTTTCAATACGTTTAAGACTAAGTTCAGATATATTAAATCACTCATGTATTTGAATAAACGTACAGAAAAGCTTAAAAAAGGTGTTCTTCTGCAAGTCGACTCCAAACAGTCCAAGATTTGCGTGGGTGTATGACTTAAAGATCTGCCTCACGTTGGATTATTAAAACAATTATTAAAATGTTAGTTAAACTAAAATAAAAAGATAAACGTTTCCTTCAGAACTGATCCTTTCTTTTAGAAATTTGTTAAATAAAAAACAATTTACAGCTTCTAAATTACATTAGTATTAAATACAGTAGTAAAAACAAAAAAGTCGCATAAAAATAAAACTTAATATTGAAATAAATGTTATAGTGAATATATATAAGTGAATTCGATAGTAATAAATTATTATGTTATAAACTTCTTCTTGATTAGTTTTACAAGTCGGGGTGAGTCTATGCCGCAACATCTATAGCCCTTCATCTTCTATGATCTTGCGCTCCCATTTCCCATTGTTGAACCCCAATCCTAGATAAATCAGCTTCAACGTCATTCTTCATTCTTTTTCTGCGATGGTCTACTGATCTTATGCCGCGCCGTCTGGTCTCTCAAAAAGCAGTGTCTATAGCACTCCGTCTTTCTCTGATCTTACCAGATGACCTGCCCATGTTATCCGGTTAGCTTTTATATGTCTGACAATGTTTTCAGTAACATACAGTCACCAATACCACATTCCGACGCCTTCTCCACTCTCCTATCTCCACTTTAAGTTCCAAATGTCATTCTATATGTTATAAAATGTTTATTAAAAATGACATTACACATATCTGTAATTTACATATATATTTTATGTGAATCATTATTACAAAGCTCTATTGCTGTAAAGTGCAAATAAATATTACAATTTAACTGGCAACATGGTTAGACAAGACTACGGCCATTTTGTAAATAAAGCTGTATGCATGTTAATAGTTAAAAAACGAGAAGGATATTACTCGTTTTCGTGTTTTGTGATATTTCGACTTCACGAAATCGGCATTTAGTTTCACTGCTAGATGGTGACAAGATTAGATTATATGCGATTGCAACTTAGTTGAAATATTGATGGTACTTTTAATTTTTACGAGCTTTTAAAACTTTGTAAGAAGGTATTTTATAAATGCACAAATTTACGATTTAGAGAGCAAATACTTGGAAGTCCTTATAAAGGCGTAACTATTCCAAAGAAAATATAAATCGCGGGAAGGTTAACGAACAAATTAAAATAAAAAATATTTAATAAAAGTTGTTTTGCTGCTTAAGTGGCATTCGTATTTGTGTTCCACAAAGGCCCAAAACAATCAATAACCTTGCAAGAATCTCAGATTTTTTAGTAATTTTTGTTGGGACATCGCATACAGGGTGGGACTAAATAAAAATACTAAAGATACGGAAATAGCGAGTTAAATGACTAACACAAATTCTTTGCAATTTCGATGATAATATCTAAGAAGTAGAATCTTATGAAAAGAGCTAAATAATAAATTATGAACCCTATTTATGAGTTTTACGTAATTAAAAATTTAGTTTTTTTAAGCTAACTATTTAAAAAGTAACTTGTGTATGTTCCGTATATTTATAAACGATAATTTCAACTTATTGCACATAATATTACAATTATTTTTTAATAAATACTTATATTACAATTCTAGGTTGAAAAACATTCAATAAAATTTTGAGGGTATACAAGGCAACTATCGAACACGGTGATTAATTTAATCTTGCCCAAGCGCTTTCGATCAATAGATCATCTTCAGGGGCATTTCGTCAATTGTGGACTATCCGACATACTAGAATGTCATAAATGTAAAAACTGGACTTAACAATACAAAATACACTACACTAAGACAAACAAACACTTTAAAATTTATATGGCGAAGCTACATATTGTGAAGAAGCCGGAGACAGAATGTCTCCGGCTTCTTCACAATATGTAGCTTCGCCATATAAATTTTAAAGTGTTTGTTTGTCTTAGTGTAGTGTATTTTGTATTGTTAAGTCCAGTTTTTACATTTATGACATTCTAGTATGTCGGATAGTCCACAATTGACGAAATGCCCCTGAAGATGATCTATTGATCGAAAGCGCTTGGGCAAGATTAAATTAATCACCGTGTTCGATAGTTGCCTTGTATACCCTCAAAGTTTAATTATTCGAACATTCAACCTTATATTGATTCAATAAAATGACCGATATGAAACACCGGCAGTGGCTAATTTCTTGTGTAAAATGTACATGAATCTCGAACGAATCTAAACCTGGCTATCAATACAAATATGCCCAATGATCTGTTGACCGGTCCGATCCTGCGTTCTTCCTACTACTTTCACACGCAGGCAGAGTCCCTATCCCAAAACCCTTTTCTGGTGACCATCTGCGGAAGTTCGTTAGAATCCCCGCTAATCTCTGCGTCTATCTCCGATGGGATCGGTAGATAATCCGGCGGCGGATCAGCGGCCATTGTGGTCTGGATTCAATATGGCGGCGGACAGGTGAGGGGTTAAATGTCCCTGTGTATTTGAAGGGCGCGCACTGGCATTACACATAGTGTGTCGAGTGAAAAGTTGGCATTGGCAAATAGGAAGAGGGTAGAGAATCGGAGGATGTATAGGCAGATGTCGAATTGCTATAGGGTAGAAAGTTTGGAGCATGCTGGGATGAAAATTATGCGGGTAGAAAAGCCTTTTGCGAAAATTGGACTCTTCAGAATTAAAGTATTTAAATAAATTGAATTCTCTCCACTGTTTAATTTAACAATTAGTAAATTTTTAATTAAAATTTATGACTTAATGGGAATAATGATAGGAGAAATAGATAACTGCAATAATATATCTCCTGTAGGCCTAAACTTTTATTATTTTTAATAATAGTCTAATAGTTAAAAAATTGTAAAATATCAACTTTTTAAAAAACTAAGAAAAATAGGTTTAAATGCGATAAATGTAATATAACTACTACTTTAATGGGAATAATCCAAAATTAAAGGTTAAAGTCAGTTTAATGACGTTTCTTAATTTCCACTTCGGAAATCGTTCTCTGAAATCGAGAACGATTTTCGAAGTGGACATTGAAACGTCAATAAACTTACTGTAACATTCAGTTATGGTTTATTAACATTAAAATAGTAATTACTTTAAAATGCCACAAGAAAATAGCTTTATAACAGTATGTAATATAACGATCTACAGCCAAACAATTTTAATGACAACTATATAGCTTAAATGTATTGCCTAGAATTAAATTTATAATTTAATAATTTGATTATATTCACATAATATCCGTTGTTATTTTAAACATATGTTTAAAGAGATGTTAATTAATTATTCAATTTCTAAATATATATTATTTGTTACTAAATGATAATTTTTTTCTTTCAGCGTCCAGGATGTCGTCCAGTCAAGTTTGCAGGCCTCACTTTCACGCACCCCTTCACCCTTGGCTATCTGATAGCAAACCTCTAGCTCACTCGAGTCCCTGGGTACCATTTGGAGGAAGTGATCCGGACAAATCGCAGTCCCCTAGTTCAGTACCTACGCAAGCACACAATATCTTCTCATTTCCTCCAACGCCACCTAAGGACTCCACGCCGGACTCAGTAGCGCCGTCTGCCGGAGGTCCCGAATACCAGAGCGCTGTGTCAGCTGCCATGGGAGCCTTTATGCACGAGAACCCCCAGTCATGCGCATTGGATATCAAACCGAGCGGAATGGGGGGCTCGAACAACAAGCAGCGTGAAGGTAGTGATTACGAAGGGGGCACTATGTTTAATGGTAACTTTGAAGGCACGTACGGGACTGCGTATGCCCACGGTATTCATGGGGGCGCGTATTCGCCCTCGAACAAGCAGCATTTAGGGGTCAATGGGGCGCAAGTCGTTCAGTCGCCCAATAAGCCACGGAATAAATCTAGAACTAGCGCCGGTAAGCGAAACCGGGAAATTTCGGTGACGGTGCAATTGGTTAGAGGGTACTGCTAGGTAGTAATAGTTTCTGAAATAAATGTAATAAGTTAGTAAATTTGATAAGTTTTCTTAAATCTTTTTGTCGGAAATTAAAATGATAATTCCAAAAAATCTATTACTACCTATCTAAAGAAAATAAAATTTTGAAAAGCTTCTTATTTGAAAGACTAAAATATCTTTTAGTTTTTTAAACAGAAGAATTTTCAAAACATTTATTTTTTCTATAAATGTTAATATAAATTTTGAATGATATAGAAATGTTATAAAATATTACTACAGTTTTTTTTGTATTTATCCAATGGGCTGAAGTAAAACTCATACCAAAACAAAGAAATTTCAACAATCATTGTCCAAATTTATGTTATATAATTTACTTTTCAATGTCAAAAAATCAATGTTTTTTCTGTATTCTTGCAGTTTTTTAAACAGTTTTTCTGTTATATCTATCCCATTCTAGTTTATACGTCCTTTCAGTTTATTTGTTTAAATATTACGTACATATATAAAGATTCCTATTCTTTCTCCATCTTCTTGTTAGTTTTATATTGTTTTTCGATTCCTTCTTCTGCATTACTTTTACCATAGTTCATAGATAACTAAAGTATTGATCTTTGGCTTTAATATCTTTTTCCTCCAATACAGTCTATTGACGACATCCTTCTAAAGACTTGGCGCCCCAATGAACAATTTTGGGAATATTAATGTGCTTCTGTCTAACACCATGTCTTGACATATCTAGATTCTCAGTTAAATCATTAGTCTATACGTTTTCTATATAACTTATAATAGAATCAATTAGACTACCTTGTCATGCGTTTATGAAGGGTCAGTGTTCTACTCTAGTTCTGGATGGCTATGTTACTGGCTTAACCAGCTGGATGACCTGGGTTCGATTCATGGCAGCGACAAATTTCAATTTCTAAAAATTATACGAGCCGTCATAGGTCGGTCGAGGCTAAGTAAGTGGTCGTTAAATCATGTTGAGGGCGCTTGCGCGAACTGTAAATCCTAATACTAGACCTAAGCCAGCAGACTACTACAACTTTACCTGGAATCTCTATCTTTCAGGGATTCACGTAGGTACTTTCTCTTTGTTAATTACGCAAATTGGAGAATATAAATGCTATAAATAACACGCCTCTTTTTCTCATTTCCAGTTTCTTTATTTCTTCTAAGCCATTTATTGTCTTTACTTGCGAAAGCTAGTTTTTTAAACTATAATTCGTCAGGTTCCTAGGGTATTTTAGAGTCCCGCAAATATTTATTTCAATAATATGTTACTAAAATGAGATAAGTATCAGTTAAATACTTTTTGGTATAATTAATTAATAATGTATATATTGTTATCTTATTACAGATGATTTCAAAATTATATGATTAGATAATTTAGCAGTAATTGAGACTGTAATAAATTTATGTTAACATTTTTACTGACAATGCCCAATTTTTTTAATAACTGATGTTGCAGATACACTCACCATCGAATATTTTTCGTATTTTTTATTTTGTTTATATTTTTTATTTTAATATTGCTTTAACCTTGGTTTTGGTGCTTATTTTAAGTTAGTTTTTTTATTTTTATGTTAATTTCTGTGATATTCAGTGCCTAACTATAAAGTAAGAACTTGATAGATTCCAAATGCATGTGGTCATCTAAGCAAATAAAAAATTAGGAAAGGAATATATCTCTTTTATCAAACTTATGTATATAATATATATATATATATATATATATATATATATATATATATATATATATATATATGACCTATAAGTTATTCTTCTTCTTGTATTATTCGTACCTATTATTTATTCTTTTTTAATTAGTCCATCTTTTATGTGGTGATAAATATTATAATTATTAAAATATTTATCTATTTTGATTTCATTCCAACAAGATATGTTAGTATTGGATGTTTAACGAATATTGTAGTTACATTATATATTTCTCCCTTAATTGTTTATGTGCTGGATTCTTCTGATTTTTTTCTGAATATCCTCCTTTAATCATAGTTTTTATTTAATACAAATAAATTGGCGTTTATGTATGTATTTTGGTGGCCTAGCGTCTTAACGTTTTTTGGCAGGTATTAACGAATATGCATTACTTAAACGGGAGGCTCTATATTTATTCCACTTGCCATTGTTCATTGATTGGTCGTCTCTATTCACCTGCGAATTTAAATTTAAAACCAATTATCCATTTCTGAGTACTCCATCCAAAAGGTTTAGAAAGCCTAGTATTCGTTTTGGAGATAAATTTTTTACTTGCTAAGCTTGTAAAATGACCTGTTTCTGGTTCGAACAATTACCTTGCAGTTACAGACAATATGTTCAGTCGTTTTCCATTTTCGAAGATTCTGTATAGTGCATTGTCCACTTTGCCCATTTTTCAGTTTCCAGTGAGAACATCCATTTGGTATCCAGTAAGGATACCCGTGATTACTCAGAGTTGAGTTCTTATACAGGAAAATGGTTCTGGTACAATAAAAGGAGAACTAGCTCCCTGGATAAGATTATTGACGATTATTTTTTAACGGGATATTATTCTTATTTTTGATATACATTTTCCTCTAATATATTCCTCTGGTTGGTTTTCTTTTTCAGAATAACTTATTTCAAATGAACAGCTTCTTCCACAAAAACAACGAAGAAGATTGATTTGGCAAAGCCCGAATAGCAAAACCAAAAACAAAATATATTTAGCAACAATAGATAAATCGTCCAAGATGTGACTATAAACACAAGCAAAGAAGAAATAAGCAAGACAAATCAAGATGTGGGCAATACAATCAAAAAAATTTGAGAAAATATAATAACAAAAAAATTCAACAAACGCTACAGGGAAATACAAGTTTGAAGGTGCTTCAAAGAAAATTAAACATTGGAAAAAGTCAAATAATTAAATTAAGAAATAACCAATGTGAAATAGTAATCAATACAACTAAGTTGGTAAAAGCTGTGGAAGATTTCTATCAAGAACTCTACAGTAGTAGAAATGACATAGAAATAAATATAAAAAGCAACTGAAAATAGTTATATTAAATCAAGGTTTTAAACGAATGCCAGATGTAACACTTACACAAAGTGAAATTAGATATGCAATGGATAAGATGAAAGACAATAATTCACCAGGAGATGATGCACCAGTAATTAAACCCTCAAGAACAGGGCGAGATTCTGATCCCAAAATACAAGAACTTTATAATTTATGCTTATGAGGAAAGTCGATACCGTCTAAGTGGAATAAGGCAATAACGATTCTGCTACACAAAAGAAGATAGAACTGGCCTCGAAAAATATCGACCCATTATCCTGTTAAGCCATATATACAAACTCTTCACAAGAATTATACGAGATTGAATAAAAAACTAGACATGGGAGAGCTAGAGGGATTTCGATCAAAATTTTATCACCAACTACCACCTGCAAACGATAAAACAACTAATTGAAAAATCCATAAAAAGTCGCATCGATAGTCGTTATTCTAGATTCTATGCAATATTTACAGAAGTGTGACAAACGTAATAAACTTACACGAAAACAGTAACGACATAAAAATTCGAAGAAGTGTCAGACACGGTGACATACTATCACCTAAGCTTTTTATAACAAGTGTCCTAGAACGTGCTTTTAAAACCCTGGATTGGGTTCATAAAGGAATAAGTGTCGACGGAGAAAGACTATACAATCTGAGTTATGTTGATGACACAGTTTTGATAGGAGATGGCCTTGGCGAAATCAATATTATGTTAGAAGAACTGGAAAGAGCCTGCAGAGGGATCGGTTTGACAAAAATTTACCCAAAACAAAATACATGAATAATCTCGTGCCCAGTAACAATTTAAAATTTCAGAAAGACGAAGTAGAACTTGTTGATAAATACATTACCGTGCTCACGAAATTAGAATAAACAATGACAACCAAACAGGTGAGGTATCAAGAAGAAAACCACATCATTGGGCAGTATATGGAGCTCTTAAAAACGTATTTAAAGATGGCAACATACCGATTAATATGAAGCGGAAAGTCTTTGATCAGTGTATTATGCCAGTAATGACCTACAGTGCAGAAACACTGTCCCTAACAAAAAACAATGCATTAAAACTAAGAGTAGCACAAAGAAGGATAGAGAAATTAATGATAGTAGTAACAATAAAAGACAAGATCACAAACAGAGACCTATAAAAAAGAACCAGAGTTACAGATGTTGTGAAGAGAGCTTGCAGATTGAAATGGAGATGTGCCGGCCACCTGACAAGGATGAAGGATGGAAGGTAGTTACCCAAGTTAACCGAATGGAGACCAAGAACAAATCAACGAAACGGAGGGAAACCATCTATACGATGGCAAGATGATCTGTGCACAAGACCGTGCAATATGGATACAGACAGGAGAGGCCTATGTCTTGCAGTGAACTTAAAACGGGCTGATGATGATGATTATAATCCTCTAGTCAATGACAAAAAAACCTTATGGGACATATTTTTATTTTAAATGGTGATATTAATATGCAATATCTTCTTACTTGTATAAGCAACATCTCACTACTTGTATACTTTTAATTTTTCTTAATTCTCAATTTCATTTCCATTTACAATCTTTGGTGTAAAATATCGCTTTCATAATGGCGAAAAATTTTATTCCAAATATCAATTACATTAAACCGATTAACTTTTACAGATAAAACATTTAACCATTTAAATTCCATAATTTAGCGCCGTTTTCAACTGATAGCTTATAACAACTTAATTGCGCATAATTAATAATTACGCCCATTAATACAAACAACTGAGTTATGCGTGTGGCAAGGTTTTTCAGAAAGAAAAGTATCCGCTATCAATCTTCTCTTGTAAATAAATTGATTATCTATCAAGATTTATTATCAGAAACATCAATTATTTTGTCTATTATTATGAATTAAACGATACTTCATATAATGTGTTTCGAAATAAAGTG